TTCTTCTTCTTCTTCTTCTTCTTCTTCTTCTTCTTCTTCTTCTTCTTTTCCTAGTGCTTTCATGTGTTCCATTAGATTGCTTGTACAAGATGCCTGGAATTTCTTTATGAAGGCAGTTAGTGCTATGGACTTTCCTCTTAGCACTGCTTTCATTGTGTCCCATAAATTAGGGAAACTTGTACCTTCATTTTCATTAAATCCTAGGAAGTCTTTAATTTCTTTCTTTATTTCCTCCCTGACCTGGTTGTCACTGAGAGTTATTCAGTTTCCATGTGTGTGTAGGCTTTTTGTTATTTCTGTTACTGTTGAGGTCTAGTTTTGGACCATAGTGGTTTGATATGATACAAGGGATTATTTCAATCTTCTTGTATCTGTTAAGGCTTGCTTGTTCCTGACTATATGATCAATTTTGGAGAAGGATCCAGGAAGTGTTGAGAAGATATACTCTTTTGTATTTGGGTGAAAGGTTTTGTAGACATCTATTAGGTCCATTTGATTTAAGACCTCTGTAAGTGTCATTATATCTCTGTTTAGCTTCTGTCTCAATGATCTGTTCCTTGGTGAGTGGGGTATTCAAGTCTCCCACTACTGAGATTCACAGCCAAACTTTGGGCAGAGTACAAGAACCCTTATGGAAGAAGAGGGAGGTAGAAACACCTGGAGGTGACAGGAAATCTACAAGGAGACAAAAAAACCTGGGCCCGGGGGTTCTGCAGAGACCAATACTCCAACCAAGGACCTTGCATGGAGAGGACCTAGACCACCTGCTCAGTTTCCAAGTGAGTTCCCTAGTATGGGGGGCAGAGGCTGTCTCTGACATGAACTCTTTGCCAGCTCTTTGCTCACCTCCCCCTAGGGGGTACAACCTTGCCAGACCACAGAGGAAGATGATGCAGCCAGCCTTGATGAGACCTGATAGGCTAGAATCACATAGAAAGGTAAACTGTAATCCCCTATCAGGGAATTAGGGAAAAGGCATAGGGAGAAAAGAAGGAGGGTGGGTAGGACTAAGAGGAGATGGGGCAGGGAGCTATAGTGGGGATACAAAGTGAATAAGTTGTAATAACTAAATAAATTAATCAAGTTAAAAAATAAGGGGTCAAGGGTAAAAAAAAAAAAAAAAGGTTAAACACCTTCACCATTGCCAAACATGGTGACCCCAAAGGAAACTAACAACAGAGAAAACTGTCAAATAGTCAAAAAACTGGGGACAAGGGGAAGCGTCATGGAACTGAAACCTATCAATCATAGGTTCCTTTTGATAGACATCGAAAGGGAATGAAATCTATTCTGTCGTCTTTCTACAAAGGGCATTGGGTACAATCTACTAATTAGAAACTACTTGACAGGTTGACAAAAGGGATTGCTACAAAACAACAGGTCAAGTGTCAAGAATAGAAAAAAATTACTTTGATAATATTATAGAATGGAGAGAATTAAAGAATATTGCGACTAAATGCAGGCTTGATTTCAAGCTCTAAGACAGCATATAAACAAATGAACAACAACAAACTAATGGACAAATTGGAGATATGTTGTAAAGTCTGTAATCCTTTACTAAAATTATTTGAGCATTATTTACATTGTTTTGATAATTGTAGTATGTCTACACAGAAACAGGATTAGACAATGCTTAAGATGTATATGGCTTATAAGAATAAGCTTACCAAGACTCGGGTATCCAGGTGTAGATGGGTCTCCTCCTGGATTTAGTGTCACCATAAAGGACTCAGAGCTAAGATCTGCAGGCTTTGGTATATCACAAGGATCAGTGTAGAGAAGAGCACCTCTAAAGCCGGCTTTTTCCAGTAAGGAAATCTAAAGAGGCAAACAAACAGTTGAAAGCATCGTACACGTTAGATGCTCACATGTCACTGTTCTCTATTGGCTGCAAATGGAATGATTCACAAGTCTTTAGACATTAAAAAACATTCACTTTGATGTTTTGTTTTCCATAACTGGAGAGTGAGCAATTGAAGAAGAGACTGAGGGAAATCTGCTTGCTGACTTTGTCCCACTGACTCGCTCATTTACCTTTCTTATACAGCTCAGAGCCACCTGGCCATAGATGGCAATGCCTACACTGGGCTTGACCCTCCTTTACTGTGTAGAAACTAAGAAAATATCTCACAGAAATTCCCAAAGAGCAATCTTATGGAGACAGCTCTTCAATTGAGATTCAAGTAATTCTAGGTTTGGGTCAGGTCAACAAAGTCTTACTATACCAATTACCATCAGCATATACAACAATGTGAATGGTACATGGATGAATTTTCTTGTTTTATTTTTATAGTAAATATAGCATGTGATACTTGTCCTTTGAAAATATTATACATACATACAATGTATTTAGATCACATCTGCTCAGTTTTTCAGCTCATTCTTGATCCCCTCTCAAGTCCCCTTCCAGCTTCATGTCCTCGTTTTTGTTTGTTTGTTTGGTTGGTTGGTTGGTTTTGATTTCATTTTAAATCACCTACCTAGTCCAATTAGAGCCGACCCTATATACGTTTGTTTAGTTTCAGGTCAGCTACTGTAGCTGCTTTGAGACCACAATGTAGCAGTTCTGACATGTTTAGAAGACACCCTTTTAGCCCATTCCTCTGTGGCCTATGGCTCTTATAATCCTTCTTTGATATTTCCTGAACCTTAGGAGAAGAGAGTGTGATATGAATGTCCCTTGCTTAATTAGAGGTCTTAACTCCTCCCTTCTACCCCCTCCCAAGTAACATCTTTATATAGTTAATACACGATTTCTTTCTGTGACTAGAGACTTTTACACTTTTTTTTTTGTCCAAGTATTTTCTACTGTTTACTCCTTTTAGATTAATGCTGTTCTGCCTCTTCTGTCCTTCTCCAGAACAGAAAACATTCCAGTATTATGTTGAGCTTCCTCCAAAGGCGACCTTTTCCTACCAACTTAAAATGGAAAAGCTTTTTGGATAGTAGCTACTACAATGATTCTTTCAAGATCTTCCATGATATTATTCATTTTTTGCATGCTCAGCCCCACCTGGAAGAGAGGGCAGCTAAAGCATTTCCAAATGACCTTATGAGAAGCTTGCTTCTAAACTATCCTTTCTTCTCTGATTCTTCCAGGAAATATTTGAAAGCAGCCCGAGGTTACCCCTCTTAAGGGGTAACCATGCTTAATAGAAAGCTGTATTCTGTTATTTAAAAGTATGTAATGTGTAATTATAATGAAGACGATCTTGACATTTTCCTATAATCCACATCATTTTAACTTGCTTAACTGATTTATTTTTTGTTACATACCTTAGAGTGACTCAATCTAATATGAATAACAATAATCATGATTTGCTGCTTCTATTTGTTTTCCAGCAGAGAGCAGAAGTAATTAGAGGGCATTTAAGCAATAAAGCAGAGGAAGATTAACACCCATGTTGCCTGTAGATTGTTACTACTGATCCAGGGACTTGACTAACACTTATATTTTACTTCCCAATTAGCATCACACACACTTGTTTACTGAACTGTTCAGTAGGCTAAGGACAGTCACTGTGCCCTTGACTAGACCTTGCTTTGAGGACATGGATCATACTTATTCTCCATACCACAGTTTATGATCCATATCATGGGATCCTAGTAGGCAATCAACAGTGTTGGTACATAAAAATTTCTATGTGAAGAACAGGCTTACCATAACACTTATTATTAAATAAAATGGAGGCCAGAGAAAACACTTTGGATAATCTTTCTTAGTTTGCACCTATACTAAAAAACATAATAAACCATGTATATGAAAATAAACACACACACACACACACACACACACACACTGATTTCAGTTGCCAGGGTACATAGGGTGGCCAAAAGTAGCTTAAGGAAGAAAAGGGTTATTTTGACTTCCACAATCCATCATGCAGGGACACCAAGGCAATAAAGAAAGACAGGAGCTTGAATCCATAAACATGAAGAAACCCAGCTTACTAATTTGCTTTCCGATGTACATTTAGCTACTCGTCCTATATAATTTACGGCCATCAGTCCATAAGTGGCACTTTCAGTATTGCCTGTACCTTTCCAAGTCGATCAATAATGAGGAAAATGCTTACGAACATGACATGCCCAAAAGCTAAGCTTATGAAAGCATTTCTGCAACTAAGGGTCTCTTCCAGGTGTGTGAAGGGAACAACCAACATTAGCCAACACACAAAGAAAATAACTCATGAAAGTACAAAGCACTGACAGAAAACATAAGTTTAGCATCTTAATGACACTTTGTAGAAATGTTTTATACTTTATAGTTTTATATTCAATTAACAATGGTTTGTAGTTTTTAATTAGAATGTAGTTGACACTAAGAAGTCAAAATGAAACAAATTGCCTTCTACAGCAGTCCACTCAGACCAAACAGACCTCTGTCTTTCACCTTCTGAGCTAGCACAGAGAGAAGAAAGAAGCTAAATGAATGGAGAAAAATTAAAAGAGAAAGAGCAAAGCATATCTGATTAAGAAGTTCATAGTTAAGATTGACTATCTCAAATTTTTAGCACTGAAATTCTCCATGATCACTTCTGAAGCCTTACCACCTAAGATAACTATTCTTCAAAGTAATGATGAAGGAGATGTCTTTGAATATTCTTTTTTTGTTATAGGAGAACATAATTGGAAACATAAGCCTCTCTGACAAAAACTATTATTTGTGTAAATATCCTTAATATAATTTCATTTAATACAATTTATCACTCTGTATCCCAGCTGTAGCCCCCACCCTCATTAACTCCCAATCGCTCCTTCCCTCCATTCCTCTATCATCTCCTCTCATGCCTCTTCCTCAGTCCAATGATAGGGGAGGTATCCTCCCTTCCATCTGACCCTAGCCTAGCTAGTCTCATCAGGACTGTCTTTCATAGTCTTTCTCTGTGGCCTGGTAAGGCTACCCCCACCCCTTATGGGGAGGTGTTCAAAGAGCCAGCCACTGAGTTCATGTCAGAGGTAGCCCCTGTTGCCCTTAGTAGGGAGCCCATTTGGAGACTGAAATGCCATGGGCTGTATCTGTGCAGGGGTTCTAGATTATCTCCATTAATTGTCCTTGGTTGGAGTATCAGTCTCAGAAAAGATCCCTGGGCAGAGACTTTTTGGTTCTGTTGTTCTCCTTGTGGAGCTTAAGATCCATTCAGGTCTTTTTATCTCTCCCTTCTTTCATAAGATTCCCTGCACTCTGCCCAAAGTTTAGCTATGAGTCTCAGCATCCACTTTAATTTTAGAATGTGTTTTCATAGCTGTAGAACATTTTTGTTTTATGAGTGTGATAGCTATTGGTTGTCTATTTGGCTACATCTCTGATTAATGAAAAATTAAATGGCTTGGTTCACCAGTGAAAGATTTTTCTTAATTAAATCATTTGAAATGGTAGAATGTGTTTTGTAGGATGGCCATTTTTAGTTAACCCTACTGATCTATGAGCATGGAAGATCTTCCTATCTTCTGATAACTTCTTCAATTTTTTTCTTCAGAAACTTGACGTTTTTGTACAAGTCTTTAACTTGCTTGGTTACAGTTACACTAAGATACTTTATGTTTGTTTGTTTGTTTGTTTTTGTGTGTGTGGCTATTTTGAAGGATGTGGTTTCTGTAATTTCTTTCTCAGCCGATTTTTCTTTTGAATACAGGAGAGAAACTGACTTTTTTTTGAGCTAATTTTATATCTAGTCACATTGCTGAAGGTGTTTGTCAGCTATAGGAGTTCCTTGGTAGAATATTTAAGATGATTTATGTATAGTATCATATCTATGAATAGTGATATTTTGACTTTTTCTCAAATTTGTATCCCCTTGATCTCCTTTAGTTTCCTTACTGTTCTAGCTAAGACTTCAAGTGCTATGTTGAGGAGATAAGGATGGCACCTTGTTTTGTCCTTGATTTCAGTGGAATTGATTTGACTTTCTCTCTGTTTAGTTTGATGTTGCCTATAGGCTTGCCGTATGTAGCTTTACCATGTCTATTATGTGCCTTGTATCCTTGATCACTCCAAGCCTCTTAAAATGAGTAAGTATTAGATTTAGTGAAGTGCATTTTTGGTGTCTGAGGAGATGATTGATCATGTAGTTTTTTTCCTTTCTTTCTGTTTATCTGGTGGATTACACGGATGGATTTCTGTATATTAAACCACCCCTGTATGCCTAGATTGAAGCCTACTTGGTCATAGTGGATTATATCTCTAAAATATTCTTGGGTTTGGTTGTGAATATTTTATTTACTATTTTGGCATCAATGTTCATCAGAAAAATTAGTCTGAACTTCTCTTTCTTTGTTGGGTCTTTGGTTTACGTATCAAGGTGACTATGGCCTCACAGAATGAGTTTGGTAATGTTCCTTCTGTTTCTTTTTTGTGGAATAGTTTGAAGGGTATTGGTATTGGCTCTTCTTTGAAGGTCTAGTAGAATACTATGATGAAACCGTCTTGCCCTATGATCTGTTTGGATGGGAGTGTTTTGATGACTTCTTCTACTTCCTTAGGGGATATAGGACTACTTAATTTGTTTACCTGATCTCGATTCAATTTTGGTAAGTGGAATCTATCAAGAAAATTATCCATTTCATTTAGATTTTCAACAATTAATAAATGGGACCTCATGAAATTGAAAAGTTTCTGTGAAGCAAAGGACACAGTCAATAGAACAAAATGAGAGCCTACAGTCTGGGAAAAGATCTTCACCAACTCTAAAGCCAACAGAAGGCTAATATCCAAAACATATAAAGAACTCAAGGAAAAAAAAAACACCAACAAACCAAATAATCCAATTTAAAAATTGGATACATCTTTGTTGCATAGGTGTGTTTCTTGGATGCAA